CGTGTTCCTGTTTCTCCTTCCTGTTGCTGAATTTGGACTGTTTTGACTTTGCTGCTTCTCCTTCCCACTGACCTCGGCTTGCCTCACTACGATTATCATCTTTCTGTTCCAGTCTCCCATCTCTGCTTGAGACCAGAAGGCCACTCAAGGCTCAGGGGCTCAACCACCTGGGTAATGAGTGGCTACCTCTGGCAGAAAACATTGCTGATCTGGCTACTGGACTCCAAAACTTTGTAACATCAATATCATTACAGGAGCTGCTTCCCGTTCTCCCAGAACATTGAATTTTGTGACCACAGTTACAAACAGCCTCCAGAGATCCTGTTCTACACCAGACCAGTGGAGCCAAACTGCAGCCAGAGCCCATCACCATCCTCATCTGGTTGTAAGTAGGCAATCTAGTATATTATTGATGACACTTATCTCTAATTTACCTCACATATAAGGGACACTATAGTCCCCAGAACCACTGCAGCTTAATGAAGTGGTTCTGGTGTCTATAGCCTGTCCCTGCAGGCTTTTTAATGTAAACACACACTGTGTGCAGCACTGGCGTTAGTTCATATGGCAGATCATATGGGTGGGGCATTGTGATGTCACATGGGGGGGCAGCAAATTTTTCTTTTGCATAGGGCAGCAATAATCCTTGCACCGGCCCTGCATGTGAACGACAGAATCCGCGCATGCGCACCAGTACAAACACAGTGCGCACGCACAAAACTGCCAACGCACCTAAAAAAGGGGAAATACGAACAACAGGCGAATAGTCGCCATAAACTGAACAAACAGACGAATAGCATATATTGGTGGATGTCAAATCAGAAAATGGGAAATATGGTATATCTAGTGATATCTATAAAGAATAATAAATAAAATAAATAAATACATTTAATTAAATAAGAAGTAAAATGGAAAAATAAAAATTAGAAGAAGAAAAAAATGAAAATAAAAATGAATAATAAAAATAAAAATACATAACTGTGTAGCGAATGAATGGAAAAAAAACTTGAATGTGACAAGACATACAGCAACATCACATAGAAAATCGCATAGAAAAAAGAAGAAATATATTAAATAAGACCTGTAAGGTCAATATCTTGATTTAAACCAGAATTGAGAGTTTTAAGGGTATAAATCCAATGTGCCTCTTTCCAGGTGAGTTTCTAATAATCTGTCACCCCTTCACCATCCTAAATTAATTTGATCAAAATGCTTGGAAATTTTCCCAGCTAAACTGGGCACATGAATTGCAGTGTCTGGGCACACTAGGATCTATTTTCTTTTTCTTGATATTATTGAAATGTTTGAGAATTCTGGTGTGTAATTCACGTGCGGCCCATGTACTGAGCTCGGCAACCACATTGTTATTTATTTATTATTTTATTTATAAAATATTTTACCAGGAAAGATACATTGAGATTTCTCTCGTTTTCAAGTATGTCCTGGGTCCACAAATCATTGCATTGTTACATTAGGTACAACAAAATACAAAAACAATATTAATACACAATATATACAAAATTTAACATAGAACAGGCAGGAAATATATAATCAACCATAACACGTGCATTCTGTTTTGAGGTATGTAGAGAGGGATCTCTTAAATGACTTTAGGCTTAGGGAAGATTTTAAATTGTGCGGGAGGTCGTTCCACAATTGCGGCGCTCTGTAGGAGAAGGAGGATCGGGCCGCTTTCTTTTTGTATTGAGGTAGACATTGTAATAAATAGATGACGAAAGTAGAGGCGCGATGGATATATTGTTTAATATTATATGTTTTGTGAGTATAAGCCTTTACAAAACTCTCAATTTTTCTTTTTTGATATTTGAACGTAGAACAATGTCCACAATGGAAAAAAAACAACATTTGAGCATGAGGTAAATTATTAGAAACTTTCTTAGAAGGAAGAAGACTGGGGGCTAGTTTGTTCTTCAAAGTAGTTGCCTCTTTAAAAATAACTGTTTGGGAATTAGGTAAAATCTCCCTAAGAACCTCATCTGTTTTGAGAATGTGCCAAATTTGTTTTAGATTTTTTTTTCTATTTTCTTTGCTTGTGTGTTGCATTGAGTAATAAATGCAAATTGAAATTTTGTGTTATCATTCTTTTTAGAATATCCTCTGGTATGTCTATCCTCCAGATATGTAGCGCTGTTAGTGTTCAGTACAGTCTGTTCATCCATCTCAATTCTATCTTTATTATAACCCTTTTCAAGGTAGCGATTTTTGATAATACGAGCTTGTTCTACAAATGTATGATCGTCTGAACAATTTCTTCGGAGACAGATCAACTGACTTTTCAGGATGTTAGCTAACCAGGAAGGGTGATGGGAACTAGTATGCTCTATAGCTGTATTGCAGTCAGTGGCTTTAAAATACGTTTTAGTTTTTAATTGATTGCTGTTTATGTAGATGGTTACTTGAATTGGATGTAAACTTTAAATTATAATTATTAATAAATTTAAAAAAGACTTCAAGCTATCTGTAGCCCCTTCCCAAATAAGGAGGACATCATCAATGTAGCGTCACCATAGGACTAGCTCACCCCCTGTATAACTACCCAAGCTGATGTGATGTTTTTCCCAATAAGAATACATACAGGTCAGCAAAACTGGGGGCAAATTTGGTACCCATGGCGACGCCACATTTTTGCACTCAATTAAGAAGTCCACTTGTAAATTATCAAGTTGACCTTGAGAGCTTAGGACATCTTTTATAGTGTCTATTCCTTTCTGGTGCGGAATATTAGAATATAAAGCAGATATATTTGCAGTAGCCAAAAGATGTTTGGTGTCTTTAATATATGTGACATTCAGAGGGACATAGGGTTGAAGAAAAAAATACATATTGAGACATATTACCAGACAAAGAATTGATGCCACTAATAATGGGTTGGCCGGGGGAGTTTGATAGATCCTTGTGGATTTTAGACAAGAAATAGAAAACTGCTACTTTGCAATGGGGATTAAACAAAAAGTTACATTTTGGTTGATCATATTAATATCTAGACCCTTCTGTAGCAGTTTCCTACGTTCTAGTAAATATTCAGAAGTGGGATTTTTCTCTAATATCCTATATGTATTTAAGCCTGTTAAAATATTATAAGCTTCTTTCATATAATAAGATCTATCTATGATAACAGTACCTCCTCCTTTATCCACTTCCTTTATAACCAAATCATGGTTTTAAGTCCATCCATCCATCCCTATCCATCATCCCTCAATCCCTATCCATCCATCCATTCCATCCATTCCTCTCTATACATCAATCCATTCCTCTCTACCCATCCATCCTTCTCTATCCATCCAACCCTATCCATACATCCATACATCCATCCCTCTCTCACTCCCACTCACTCACTCGCACACTCACAATAACTTACTCACTTGCACACTCACTCTCTCTCACTCCCACTCATTCTCACACTCACTCTCCCACTTACACACTAACTCACTCTCACACTCACCTCTCTCAATCTCTCTCACTCCCACTCATTCTCACACTCACTCTCTCACCTACACACTAACTCACTCTCACACTCACCTCTCTCAATCTCTCTCACTCACATTCACTCACTCACACTCACTCTCTCCCACTCACTCTCTCCCACTAACTCACTCTCAATCTCTCACTCACACTCTCTCTCACACTCATTCTCTCAATCTCTTACTCTCACACTAACTCTCTCTCTCACACTCACACTAACTTACTAACACTAACTCTCTCGATCTCTCACTCACTCTCACATTAACTCACTCTCTCACACTCACTCTCTCAATCTCTCACTCACTCACACTCACACACACACTAACTCACTCACTCTGTCATGCTCACTCTCAATCTCTCACTCTCACACTAACTAACTCACACTCACTCTCTCATTCTCTCACTCACTCTCACACTAACTCACTAACTCACACTCACTCTCTCATACTCACAATAACTCACTCACACTTATTTGCACACTCACTCTCTCTCTCACACACACACACTAACTCACTCACACTCAGTCTCTCTCAATCTCTCACTCACACTCTCACACTCACTCTCTCACTTACACACTAACACACTCACACTCACACACTAACTCACTCACTCTCACACTCTCTCCCACACTAACTCACTCTCACTAATTCTCAATCTCTCACTCACACTCACTCTCACACACTATCACACTTGCTCTCATAATCTCTCACTCTCACTCTCTCTCACTCTCTTACTAACTCACACTAA